TTTCCGGTAAATGTACAAAAATTTCTACACGTTCTATGGGCGACGCTATAGTACTCTTACAAAAATATTGTGTTAAGTCCGGAAATTTTCAAAGTTCCATAAAAAAAATTCTCAGAGCAAAACTTAATATAACCTGCACATCGTTTCAAAGGCTGTAAGGAAGCATTTTAAAACATACGATTTGTTGCCTAAGCCAGTACTTGCAGTAAGATCATACGGGTTGGCACTTGATTAACAATAGAATATACATAAGAGTAGCATTGTATTATGCAGGCAAACATGTTCGGTCAGACCTAAGTCAGCACACGTTAAAGATAGATATGTAAGAATAACATTGTAACACATAGGCAAGTCAAAGCAACTTTGTAACGGGATAGCGATGGTCATCGCGACTATAAAAGAGCGTGTCGCACCACGCTCAGCCTTTCAGTTGTGTGGTAGCAGCCAAAAGATAAGTGATCACGGACATAACTAGCTGACTTTTACTGAAAGGGTTTTTTTAGGATTCTACGGATAGGGGACGGCAGGTTTAGCTTAGCCGCCATGCCGAATGACTAATAGGACTGTTAACTTTCACGGATAGGGGATGACAGGTTTAGCTTAGCCGCCATCTCTGAACGGGTGATGGGCAATCGCTCTTGCGACGTGAAATGGTTAGGGACGGACGAGGGGCCCTATAGGCCGAGGTTGGCTGCTACGACACCCGCGACGTATTCTTTTTTTACAGAAACCCGCGATACGAAAACGTGGAAAAGTGAATATATACTAATAATTGTTCGGAACGGATAAGAAATATTAAAACGGTAAAGAAGAGTCGGACCACAATGCTGGTTTTCTCCTGCCCTTCTTAAAATCGCTGATCATTGTAATCTTCTCTTAGATAAATAAATAGAAACATAAGAGCAAAACCGAAGGTCATAGTTTTTTTTATACCATAAATTTTCTTGGAAAGAGTCCTGGATTGGCTGAGTATATCCTGCCCAACAAGACTCGTTACAGGGCTATTAATAGAGAATTCACTAGATGCTAGTTTCATTTTCTGACAGGACATTATTTGGCCACAGTGGCTACGCAAACTTTCCCCTTATCAACCTTATTTTTGACAATGTTGTCCTTTCGAATATTAGTTAATTTACATAAAATCATGTTTTGTTTATAAAAATTTGCAAAAAAATACTCGAAAATTTCTATTTAACTTGTATTTTGAGTTAAATGCCTCCGAGACTACGTTTAACAGAATTTTCTTAACGGCTTTACAGAGTCTGCAAAAAAATGTGTCGTGTCTTTGCTAGTCATATTTAACTATAACTTCACACCCTTGAATAAATTACAAGTCTAACAAAAGAATTTTAGAACTTACTTAAAGAGATTTGTACGATCCGATGGATGGGGAGTCACTGAGCAAATGCATGTATTCTGCAATATTATTAAATGATTACTGCAGTAAACTTTTCGTACATTTGGTGAAAATAGAAAACAAGTATCCAAAAAATGTAAAGAATTTAAAAATTTAGTAGAAAAAGGCAAGAAAATTAAAGCGCTGCGTAGCGAGAATGCGCCTGAAATTATTTTTCAAGAATTTTCAATATATTTAAAAAATTATGGCATACAGCGTCAATTATGGAGTTGGTAATTCAACAAAATGATTTCGACGAACGGATGAATATACTTGTCAGATCAAATGACTACATTAGCACAAATCGTCACTAGAAATACTTAATAGTGAACTATGAAAATGTATTATTGTTTTTTATTCCGCTATATTCTCCCATAAAGGCTGGATGTAAGGAACTAAGACCGTTATTGCTAATATTATTGCTAGTATCCCAGCGAATAATAATAAAATAAAGAATTAAGAAGCGACAAGTGTGTCTGATGAGCTTATCCTAAGTAAAGCGGTTTGCGTACGCAAACGCAACTAAAAATTAAACAGAATAGAGCAAAATACATCGTTGGACACTTACTCAAGTCTTTAGTCTTTAGCGCTTATTATGTCAGCACGAAAATGAGTAAGCCTGATTCAGCATAATTAGGTACAGAAATAGTTGGTTGCAATTTTTTGCTATTTCATTTACAAAATGATCCAGATGAACTACTTTGCGAATTTGAACTTAATAATATTGCTGTTAGACGCGCACACTACAAATTGTGACGTAGAATACCTCCGTTTGTCCGGCATATTTAATAAACCATATTTATAGCGTTTGTATTGAACAAGAAAACGAATAAAACTTTCTATTTCTTCTGTTCAGCAAATTAACCGAAAATTCGCTTTGATGTGTAGAAATGTATTCTACTTGGCCATTCAAACGAATCGAAAGCTTTTAGATTATGGAAGGCGAAAACAAGAACAGTAATCGATAGTAAAGATGTTAGGTTTATGGAAACCGAATTATATGAATATAAATAACAAAAAACATCTACGATTTTGAAATGAAGCCTTTGTACAGAAGCTTAGAAAATGCCAATGAAGTAGGTACATAAGTAAAAGTTTCTAAAGGTACTCAAAATAATATCGAAACGAACATAATGGATGTAAATGACGATATTGATAAACGTGAGAATACTGAAGTGGAAATAGCTGAAAAAATAAACCCTTCCCATAGATTCTATCAAACGAAAAATGAGATCATGGACAATTTGAAGGTATTAACACAATGTAAGTGCAGCGTCTGAAAACATCGATTCTAATGTTGTGGGAGAAGTTTTGCGAATAGAAAAGGTGAAAGAACGGTGTAACGCTGTGCAAGATGAATACATCTCATTAATAAAGAATAGTACCTAGGAATTCAGCTATTTATGCAGAAACCGCGCCACAGTAGGTCATAAATGTGATATCAAAAATTAGTCCTATTGTGGAAGAAAAACAAAGCCAGTTACTAAATGATATTCGCAAAAACATGGACCAGAGCATGAGCTGATAGGACCTTGTGAACAATGAAACAGCAAATGTAACGGCATACTTTGTAGATGAAAGTTTCCTATTTCACCAGTCGAAAAAAGTAATATTCAACGAACTTGATGATGTGCCAGCGTTAGTAGCAATTGGGGAGCGCAACAGTGCTTGGTGTTCACCATCTACTTTGGCACGAAGGGACACATAAAACAGTTTTAAGTGATGTTTGTAAAGTGAATGAAGAAAATATAGATTCAGTCCAGTAGAAAACACTCAATATATTTCATCCACTGATTAAGTAGAAAGTTTGAAACCGCATATAAGAAAAGTTTATGTGTTGACCAACTTTGCCATTTCGAAACTGATGAATGGCTTAAGAGGTTCCTTGTACGTATCGTTTTATTCGCATGCTTCTACTGCTGCACCTTTACATGAATGCCTCACCAAAGGGCGAATAAAGAATATTTTGTTAATATATTAAGAACTAGCCGCTTCTGAGGAGTTGGAACGATGTCGCGTTACAGCTCCAGTGTTAGTTATTCCTAATCTAAAGCAACACTTTTATGTTCTATGTGATGCATTCAGACATGACGTAGAAGGAATTTAAACCCAGGAGGATGATGAAGAATGTAAAAAAACAATTGCTATAATAAGTAAAACTCAGAAGAACTATAAGATGACAAAACTAGGATGCTATACAACTAAGTTAAGTGTAAAGAAAGGTAGACCATACGTAGAGGCTTTACGTATCCTTCTACCTTCTAGCGGATCTGCGTATATCCGATTGTTTAGTATAAAAAAGGACAAGGTATCGAACCGGAGTTTTAATCAGTGCATTTTAATCAGCGCGATTTACCTATGTCGTACTTAAACTAGCTTTTAAAATGAATTGTTGTCAACTGCTATCGGTTGCCAGGCTTATGCATGTTTGCGATGGCTTAGGGGTTCATTTGCAATTAGATCCTGTACCGGTTGTAAGTGTGGCTCTAGGCTGGTTCTGTTCATGCTTTTTTTCTCTTTTTTCCTCTCTGTTTTTTTTTTTTATGTACTTATACTAAGTTTTATTATTAATTAATAAAAGTTTTGCTTTAAGTGCCAATTCAACTAGACTGTTACTTGTTTAGTTGAGTTCCATGTATAAGTAGAATTAAAATAAACAAATAAATAAATAAATTTAATCATCTAATGAGCTTCTTAGTATCAGCGTCTCAGCAAAATATGGACGAATACACGAAGCACTACATGAGCTGAAGAAAAGTATTATTGGCAGCGTATAGTTACAGTTTATAGTTTAATAGACGCTTCACTTAGTTACAGCGAGCGGTGTGTAGTTTATGATGCGGTTGTTGAGGCCATGCATAAACTCTTTAATGAGGCCAAGTTAGTGCACGGTGTTTTGAGTGAATACAATATCTAATGGCATAACGGCAAATGTTGGTTTATTGATGTGGTTCAATCCGTGGAGACCCATCTTCCCAATGCTTTAGAATTTTTAATGCGAGATTGCAACAATATTATAACGGTACTTCCATTAAATTTGTATAAAAATCAAGATTTAATAATAAATTTCGGCCATCTTGTAGTTTTTTGCGAGAAAAGGTGTACACAACCACTCCAAAGAACAATTATTTGAATACAACACTTCATTAAGTGCTGAAAATCTTAACGTTGCTCTCTTGGAGCGAATGCACACTAAAGGCGCCAATGTATGTTTGGCTGCGGTTCCAAATCGGGACGAGTGCCCTTTGGAACGGGAACCGTTGGAATACTTGTTCGACTTAGTCTGGGAAAATGCAGTTCAAAGCAAGCTGGAAATTCCGATTATTGACCACGCCGCCAACGTTTTAAATGTTATACAACCGGCGGATTGTCGTATTCAAGCATCATTGAATGAAGTTTTCAATGAGTCGTCTGTTACTGCTTCTGCAGTTAATACCCTATCTAACACTGCCAACATTTAAATGTTTTTGAGGATTTTGGAAAAAAAATTGTAGAAACACTTTTTATATATAAAAAGAAATACGCACTCACACAATTTTCACTTAATATTTTAATGAATTAACTCTCTGGATGGAACGTTCATTAGAAACGCACGGTAAACGTAAAATAAATCCGTCCACGCCGGTAGAGCAAACATACATGAGAAATGAACTTTTAAAGCAAATAAATAAAAATATAAAAACTCATGTGCTAAAATCGCTCCGAACGAAAGAATATATAATGATTGGCCGAAGCGTGGACAAAGTTGGCTGCGTTTCCTTATGTATCAATATATAACTTCAACATATCTGGCAAATAATGGAAATAAGGCGCTGTCACAGCATCCTTCTATCAAAAACTTTAAAAAACAAGAAGCGGAAATAATGGAAAATGAGATAAATTAAATCTTTTTTTATAAACACAGCAAACCGGTGTAAATTTTTTACTCGTTTTTTTTTTTGTTTGTTTTGTTTTTCTTATTTCATTTTATTCATATATAATTTATAGTTAATTTTTCCCTCGAACTTGCTTTAGTGACTATTTGCTTAAAATGTACAGAAACAAAAAAAACTATTGTAAAAATAAATATTTCGTTATATGAATATTGATGCCAAGGCTGGAGGCATCAATCTGTGTAATAACAAAATCATATCAAAAGAACAAGTTGTTATTATTAAAAAAAAGGTAATTATCTTACATGCTTCTAGAAAAAAGCTCTCAGATTCTATTTCTAAATTTTATCACATTAATATTTAAGATAACATTTAAAATTAAGCTTTAATTTTCCCTGGCACTTCGAAACAGGCGACATCATCGTCTTTATCGCCCAAACACCAACGTATCACTACACTGATGGTGAGTTTTAGCTGAAATGATGACAATTTTAATACGACTGTTTTTTCTTATTTTGTAATGTAATACGACTTACATTTGGCGCAATTCTTATTCTTTAAAGGCACCAATTTTATACAAGACATGAAAAATTATTGAAAAATGTGAACTAACGTATACGCTTATTCTCAGATGTTTGGAATTTTTACAAATTATTGAGAACATATATACGCTTATTCTCACATGGTTGGCATTTGTATAAATTATTGAGAATATATATACGCTTATTCTTTAAAGGCACCAAATTTTATGTGCTTATTCTTTAAAGGCACCAATTTTATACAAAAACGTGCAAAATTATTGAAAAATGTAAACAAACGTATACGTTTATTCTCAGATGTTTGGAATTTTTACAAATTATTGAGAACATATACGCTATTTTCACTAAGCGCCGAATTTTTATACATGCTTGTGGAGGGGTTGTGTACTGATCTTAGGTGGTCGTATTCTAGAACTACCTTATACTTGCATTTTTTGTGTTTAGAGCATTTCACAAAGTTTGTAATACTTACCTAAGGAAAGCTACGTCTGGAGGAGCAATTAAATGTCTAAAACAATAAGTTTTTCATGTGTTTGGAGTACCAGAAATGATACACAGTGCCTTGTACAACATACTAGAAACTTTTTACGCACAGCAGGAAAACACTGCCACTGTTTCTGTGCATCAATGAAGATCAAAAGACGTGGAATGTTCATTTCAGTAATGCCGCGTTTTCTTCGCATAGCACGATATATACTTCAATCGGTATGACGCAATAGAACGCTCTAGTCCATTTATTCGGCTACTTTCCACATATTACCTTACTTTGAAAGGTAGAAAAAACGTTTTTGGAAGCAAAAGACTTAAATATGATAAACCTTTGTGTTGTCAAGAATTTCATAATACGTATAATTTTCGAAAATGCCTTGTAAGAAAGCGATTTTACTTCCTTACGGAATGTAAGTCCGTCCGCCTGAAATAGTTACCCACAGCGAACCACCTGTCAGTCCGAGCTGTCCGTGAACGTCTGATCGAATTGAGTGCTCATGAACAACCTCCTCCAGCAGAAGTAAGAACTCAAAATGTTTAATAACAGAATTAAGAACTCATAGGGAAATTAGAATTCAAATGTGAATAAGAACTCAAATGTAAATAAGTACTCAATAAGATCTCAAACGTAAATAAGAGCCCAAATGTAAATGAGAATTCAAATGTAGAAAGCATAGGTTTAAGAACCAAATGTCTTGTAAAGAGAAAAAGTATGAACACATATTGAATATGCCTATGTTAGTAAAACTATAGGAACACACACTCCAACAACAAATGTATTGTAAAGAGAAAAATCACGAACACATATCGAATATGCCTAGGTTAGTAAACCCATAGGAACCCACACCTTTGTATAAAATGTAAACTACAGAACCCCACAACATGTATGCATCTTGGATTCTACTGCTCTTATACATGATGCGTATGAATGCTTTTATACGTGGTTTCGTTCTAGTGCTTTTGTATCTGTTGGGTTCTAGCGCTTTTGTATATGTATATATTTTTATACAAGGGTATTCCTACATGTGTGTATGTTTTGGTGTGGCCTGATCTTTTTACATACATGGTTAAGGGTACTTGCTTATATATTTTGTACAAGAGTGTTTGTACATGTGTGTGACTATTATATGGTCTAGCCTCTTTATATAAGCATAAAAACATTAGAAACAAATTCTGCATGAAGGCATGAGCTCTAAACCTGCACAAGACTTGTATCACACGAATATAGAATATGTGCAAAACAAGTAGAAAAACCATGTAGAGAAGGGACAAAATGTATAGCACCGTTAGGTCACATTGAATCGTCAAATAATGTACAAAACTAATAGCACCGTTAGGGCAAACAAAATACACAGAACTGAACTTAGGTAGAAAATAAGGGATAATCATGCAAAATGCATAGACTGCAGCAGTACGCAACAGTCTCTATGCTGTAAAAAGCACAAACACCTGAAAAGTGTATAAACTGCAGTAACATTGCATAGCACCGTTAGGGCAAACAGAATACACAGAACTGAACTTAGGTAGAAAATCTATACATGCAAAACGAACAAACTTTAGCAAAAATCTCTATGTTGTGAAATTCGCAGGATGTGTAGCACCGTTAGGGTATACAAAACTTACAGGAGTAAGTACGTAGGTAGGAAAAATAAGAACATACCACAATGCAAAAACTGCATACATAAATTGTACAAAGGCACGATCACACATGCCAAGCATGTGTAAACACATAAGAACAGAGACAAAAAAAACCACCCTTGTTGGCATGCAACTACAGAACCGCATGAATAGGCACTTAATCAAACACAGCAGTAAGTTAGCTGTTAAGTAATGAGGTAGTATTAAGTTTGTACAAATCGATCATATAAGTCGTAACTGAGGTTGCGACAGCAGCCGACCTCAGTTAAGCATACATATAAGTAAAACATCACTACAAAACACGTAAATGTACACAGCCTAGGACACGTTGGAACGGAACAAGCGAGCCAGACCCCAGCTATAAAAGAGCAGCTCAGCACCGAGACTCTTTCGATTCAGTGTCATAGCTGCCTAAGGTAAGTGCGGAAGGACAATTTGACAAGTCAACCTTTTTTTTTGTTTATTATTTTGACTTACGGATAGGGGATGTGCTGACTTAGCTGTTAGTCGCCACCCCTGAAAGACTGGGGGACACCTTTTTCTCTTGCACTTATACACGAATGACCAACCTAAGACAAACCGCCGAGGCAGCTCTGACACTGGGAACGTTTCTATTTTTCTGCAGCGCTCCGACGAAAGCAATAATAGTAACAATAAATAAATCGAGCACCACGTGTAAGCCACAGCAGAAGTCGGGTCACCTCGCTGGTTCCTTCCCTTGCCATAGCCAGCTTCAAAACAACGCTACACTCCTGTGAACATAAAATAAAGACATTGAACATCAGTACCGAAGGTCCAGTAAATTTCAATTAAAATAAATATTCTTGCAACGAACCTTGGAGTGGCTGAATTATACCCTGCCCAAGAAAACCCGTTACAGCCTTATAAAGCATTATTTAAGAAAGCCACAAATCTATTGGCTTGGTCCATCTCAACTCAACATACAGAAAAAAATCTATTACTGTATTCCCAAGCTATTTCAAATTAATTTAGGATAATTTTTTTGAAAAAAGTGAAAACTTGACTTAGGAAGTATATAAACATCGTCAAAGCCGCATTTAACATGATAGTAGAAAGCCTTTGGAATATTCATATTACGTTGCATATAAATAACCGACCTATTACCCTTTTTAATATAATTCTTTTTTTATCTCTTGAAATTTTCAGTTTTGTGTTGAAAATAGTTGAAACCAACGTTGGCATAACTTTTATAACGTGCACGCCATTGCAACTATCAAAATTTAATGAAACTTCAACTTTAACTTATTAGCACTGATTTTCCCAAGCTTTTGCGTCTATTCGAAATTTTTCCGTTTCACTAGCAGGGGAATTTTACTCCTCCGAACACAGTCTGCTTAGTATTGTTCGTTTCCATCATTTTCGCATTCAGTGGATTCTCCCATTTTCTTTATTTCTTGTGCATTTACTGTAGAATATTTATTTCTAATCACATCATGTGTTTCTTTAGCTGTAACTCATGACCTCTTTAGCTCATGTGTAGCTTTAGGCTGAAGTTTGCAGATTTATAAAAGAAGATGGCTGTTCAACTGTGACGATTGCGTTTCCTTCCAATCTTCGTTTTCATCATGTTTCGGAAAACTCTGCTTTTTTTGTTTGTTGAACGCGTTTGTAGGGAGGCCGTTCATCTATAGGCCTATATCTCCAGTAACAAGGTAGTGAGTTGAGACAAATTGGATTATTTACGTATATGGCGAAGTTGTATGATGTAGTTGAAGAATAATAATAGAAAAAATTTGTGATGAGAATGAGAGCGGTTTACCGTTTTAAGGTCGTCAAATGTCCAAACTTTGTAAACTTTGAAAAATGCCCAAGTAAAATAAATAAATAAATTGATATTTGTTAAATTTTCAAATTTTCGTTTTATTTGCTTTTTGTATAATATAAGGAAAATTTATTTAATCAGAGAATTAAGCTACAGGTGTTTTTAGTGAAAACAAAAGAAAAATTTTGGGGGAGAATTTTTCTGAGTTTTTGTTCCCTTTTATTAAAAAATATGTGTATTTTGTTTATTTTCAGAGTAGTGAGGATTGATTTTGGTTATTTTCACACACACACTGGTTGATGTTGTTCATTTTGCGATAACTATGTATTGATTTTTGGTAATTTTAAGATACCGGCAAAATCACTTTAGGCAGCACTCATCAAATCGAAACAAAGAAACAAGAGGTCTGCTCACCACCCTTTTTTTATTTCTTTCTGCTGCTAAGATTAGCACTGATACTATGCAAATAATCAAGTAAAGATGGCGCAATGACAGCTGATAGTGACGTTGAGTCATCTCCATGTTTCGATTGTAGGGAAATATCAACGAATTTATCTGCAACAAAAGTAACATCTCCTAACAGATATTTTCTTTGTTTGTTGAAGTTGATTTGATAAACGAATTGTGATAAAATTCAGTCGGAATACTAATCATGAAATGGCACGACAGGAAACCAATGAGACCTAACAATGTTTTATTAAAATTACTGTTGTAGCCAACAACACATTTGAAGATAGCGAAGATCTTCTCAGCTGACGATGACGAAGTGTAGTTTGAGAATTTGTAGAAGTGGCAGGCTGTTCTGTAGATCAGGGCAAAATTTGAGCGAAATCGATAAAGCATTATAAAAGTGCCTTAACGAATCATGCTTAGCTAGGCAATGACAGTAAACAAAGAGTTGATGTTCAATTTCAATCTTTTTGGCTCCAAATGGCGTTATTAGGGACTTAAATCCCCAAATCGCGAGGAATTAGTAATTTAGTGTTCTTGGGAGGCAAAAAGTGTCCAAGAAAATGATTGCGCAGAGGCGGACGCAAGAACATTTCGATCACCTGAAGAAGTCTTTTTGCTGACTGGATGGTTTAGACAGAAACTTGTCCGCAAACAAAATCTCTTTCCATTTCACTCGCCAATTTTCGTGAAATTTTGGCGTAATCAAGTGCAGAAAGAGCTCAATCAATTCCAACGATGAAATAGTATATGAAGTAGCAACATTTAAACGACCCTAGCACTGTATAATTGCAGTTTTTCAATGCTGCTTAACTCATTGTCGTTGCCGATGACCGCTTACTGTTCCACATTCCCAAATGGCACGACCTGGCATAACAGGTGATTATTATCAAATTAGTAGGGATGAAGCGAAATATCCATATAATCAGGATCTAATACGATGTGAACCCTTCAATGTGATATGAATTGCGTTATACGATATCTGCATTAGACGAATAAAAATATGAAGAGCTTCCAAACTAGGGAATACGTCAAAACGGATGACGATCCAATTGTTGAGACTAAATTTAGTCGCTTAAAGTCTTTATTTGAATTAGTTGTAGGAAATGTTGCCCTAAACAACTCGCAAATAAAACTAGCGCATTGTAAAATTGAGATATTGGCAACATTTGCTTGCACTTTATGCAATGTAAATTATGTAAAACCGTATATTGTAATGAAAGCTCATCATATTTAGTCAAGAGGCATGTTACACTTTGCATCAAATTGTTCATTTGCAACGGACGTTATTAAACGCGCATCAGAGGTATAGAGTTTGGAGTTGAAAAGCTTTAATAAAAGATGCTTTATCGACGTAGAATCATTAATTAAAACCTCAATAGTCAGCTTTCATTATATTTTGAAAGGAAGTCTTATGCAAAAATACACTGATAAGGATGCTATAGCACATCTAATTAACTTAATCACCTCTAAAGAGTCCTCAAAAAGTCTCCTAATTTCTGCTATTACTGTTCTCACATTCGCGTTCATATCGAACCTTTCAATCAGATTATTTACAGTATGGCAATTTAATAGAACTGCCTGCTGAAGAGAATTTAATGAAAAATTGTGAATTTTCTCTTTGAGGTAGTTTTTTAATATTAAAATTGTGAACAATTAAAAAGATAATGATTTAAGATTCTATGATTTAAAGTGAGAAGGTTTGTCGGATGCCTTTCTTTTTGAGGTTTTGCTACATTATTGCTATATTGCTGTGCCATCGTGAGAAAACTTTTCATAAGCTTTTGCATAAATATATAAATAATTGATTTAAATTTTCATGACTTAGGCATAAGTCATTAATTTTGCATTTCTTATCCTCTAAGAGAACTTAAAACTTTTGAACTTTATCTTTCGAAATCTACTTTTGTAATACGGTTTTCCTTAACATAAGTTTCAACACTGATCTATGAATTTTTTAAGTAGTACGTTTTATAAGTTAATGAAATAACAATTCGTTATAAAAAGTTTATATTAATTAGTAGTATAAGGCAAAAAACAAACATTATTTATGATAGAGAAAATACATAAAAATCTTTCTGATAATAAAGATAAGCTTTCAGCTTTTCATTCACGATCGAAGCCTGGAGGAAATAGTAGGATAGTTGCGGATATCATCTACATAGCGCTCTTAAAACGATTCTCTTCAAACACTAGAGTTGTCATGGCTATATGTTCGGCAATGTATAGAGGACTAACTTTATGCTTATTTGTCTTTGAATATAAATATTATCTACTCTCCGAAAGAAACAACTCGAGGTTTATATTTATATTCCGTACTATTAATAATCTCAAATTTTTTCTCATTTTTTCTCTTTACGTATTATCCGTTCGAGATTTATCTTTCGCACTACCAGCATCGTCTAACAAAGATTGCACCAATTCGCTGCCAAGAATAAAAACGCACTGTTACACTAATATTTTCCAACGGAAACCTAACTGAAGAATAATGCTTACATAGTGACGCTTTTTTCTGGCCTGGGGATGAAAATTGAATGCACTGTTTTAATATGTGCGGCTATAGTGCTTTCCATTAACTCTTATTCCCAAGTCTAAAGAAGAGTGCGGCCTCATTATATTTACAGTCTAAGAAAGATTAAAAAAAATATGTGCAGCCTACAGAAATACATAGGTTTTATCTCGCAATTCTTGTAAATGTGAGTAACTAGAAAAATATTCAAAATAAACCGTTATGAAAGTACTAAAGGGCTGAAAAAAAGTGAAGAAAGTGACGATTTTCTCGACCTATGGCCTTTACCTCACTTTTTTTTTGCTTACAAGTAGACGACTATAAGATAAAAATTAAATACTCAAGGAACAAAAGTTGCAAAAACGTATAAACTCTTCTTTAAGATTTTTTCAGAATTTTTTTGAATGCACATATAAGCCACATTCCTGATCAGCTTAGTCTAGATAATATTAACAAAACGAGGAAAGAAAATAACATATTCGAAAAAATTCGTGTTATTGTTCACGTAGTACAAAGTCATTACAGTTATTTCGAAAATAAAAAAAGAAATGATAGAAGAGGCAAGATTGAAACTTTATACACCTCTACACACATACATTGCTTAGGCATTGCTCTAAGAGAGCTGTTCCACCTTGGTTTAAGGGCAAAAGAATTGAGGTCATGAAACTTTGTTTTAGCAGCATTTAGTTCGGTTAGAAAAGTGTTTGTTGAATAAATTTTGACTATCTTTTAAGGAGATGAAATGGTTGACGGCAAAGTACTGGCTTCTGCCAAGAGAAGCCCATTCAATCATCCATTTGAAGGAGAAATATGTAGAGAGATTTCGGTCTAACATACTTCGCGTTGAACAATTAATTGAAAAAATATGGAAGGTGGATTATTTAGGTAGCGAAAGCGTTAATTTTTAATAGACGACCATACGGAAATGAAATTTAGAAATAATGTTTTGTGCTTAAAAGCAACTTTTTTTGCCAAATTACTATTTTGTATAAATTTTCGTCACAAAATAGTAAAATAATCGTACGCAAGCCATTTTCAATAGCTTCCATTCTTGCTCCAAAATAAGCTAGTATAATGAATATGTCAGACATTACGTCCAATTGGCCTGATGGAAGAAACCATGGAAAATCCTTTTTGCTTTCACACACATATTCCTACGAACTGTAAGTGCTGCAAAGAGTAAAAGGAATACTCTCAAGCTCATTTACTTCTTTACTTTAACACCATCATGTGCGGCTACCTCGGAACCAAAAATGAATTAGTGAAACGAGTTCATACACTACTTGCCTTCACGAATGGGATAACATATCGAAACAGCAAATTGCATGGCTTGTTTCTTTATACCTATTTTTAATTAAACTAGCAACATTTGCTTGCGAATTTAGTACTTCTGCTAAAATTTGATGACATTGATCTTTCATTCTTTTTTCGCGAGCAAGACATTCCGCAAAGGAATTGAGACCACCAGTCCTGAAAAATTGAGTAAGTGAGTCTACGCATGTATTTTATTAGACTTCTCATTTTGTGAGTAAAAGAAATCTCTACGCAATCCACTCTTATCTATATAAAAAAAAAGTTCTTTGATTTTTATTATTCACATATGTATATTATTCATATTTACGAGTTCTGTGAAATTAGTTTGTAACGATTCACAAATTTTTGGTGATAGCTTTAATGACTCATTCATATGGATGCCTACTGTCTATACTTCTTCTCTATCAATTTTTAAAAAGTTTTTACATATTTGAATGTTTCGCTATTAACACCTTTTTTTTGCAGATATTTATCTAAACTGTAATAAAATTTATGTGAACAAGGTGTGGTTTGGCGAACATAAACGTTTGAAAAAGGCGGTATCAAATGATGCCAATTACGAAGTTGGTTTACACACTAGACTGACTTTTTTTGATAAAACAATGTTCATCTTCATGATGTTCATAAGTAACCTTGAACTCTACCAACCTAACCATGGTGGATGATTTATTTTAGATGGAGGAGTGAAAGTGAGATTGACAGGTAAGTTGACGAGGGCGTGTGAACGTTTTAGGCGTTTCAAAGTATTTCGAATGACGACGCCATTTCTGCCTAAAAGAAATCCCGCAGGAATATGGGTTTCGCGGTTTGTGTTGTCGTGTATCATTTCTATGTAATAATCGAATTCGCTAGATTCGTTATTAAATTCGGTGATTATAGCTGCATTGGCTCCAGCTACTTCCACGTTAATTGTCTTTGTTAGAAAGGAGCATTCTCTGCAAGAAATTTCTAATTATATTTTTTGTACTTTGTGCACAGTTTAAGTCAAATTACCCTCGGTCAATAAGAGCAACATTACCGCGTAATGCCATCGCATTTATAATTTTTGCACATGCTTCTGCGGGAATCGTTGGCACTAGTGCAACGCCCTCCATTCGTCGAGAAAACGATGCTCCAAAGTCCTTAGCTGGTCGCAACCGGTAAGTGTATTCAAGCGGGAATGGCTCTGTTATTTCAAAAAATACATCGCCTGCTATTATATCTTGTGTAGTAATAATATCATTAAGTGGTGGGTGATGACTATCGCCTGCGATACAATTACGTTAAGTAATAATTGATGAACTAATTGCTAAAACTACCGGGTAATTCCAAAATGAAATTCGAAAAGCATGGACTTGCCTAACAGACCAGCGGCTAACCCTAGCATTGCCACCACCACCGACGGCCATAGTATATTATTGATATAGTCTTCTAGCATAGCTTTCACTTCTGCATCCGTTGATTATATTAAGAGCAAAGGAACATTTTATTTGTTTTATTACATTAGTATAAATTTACTTTAAATGATGAAATTCTTTGTCACACTTTTTTATTTATAAAAGGCATTGTCCTTCTTTACGAAATTGACAACTTTAAAACAGCAAAACTATTTATCAGGAAACGAAACGGAGCGGAATGTTTTAAATGTTGCTTATTGTTGACTGGTCATTTCGGTGCATTTCTTTTCTAGCAAAATTTTCAATCCAAAAGGACGATAGGATGAAAGGCTGCGTATCAGGGGCTGCAGAGCTGCAGAGATGGGCGTTTTTAGATGTAATCCAAATTTGAAACTTCATATACTTTGTGGGGTTTTTGAAATTTGTGTTTGCGCGTTATAAAGATAGTAAAAAAAATTAAATTTTGATACACTATAATGTTGAGTAAGCGTGGTCAATTTTGTGCATTTTTGCACAGGCAGGAGGATGTTTACAGCAGACATTAGTCAGATGGACAGACACACAGACGGACATGCTTAAATCGATTTACAATTTGATGCTGATCAAGAACATATACTTTGTGCGAAGCTTCCTTCTGGGCGTTGTAAATGCTTTGATAAAATGAATACACTACTTGTCCTTTGATGGTAAGTATACACCCAGAATGTGATCGTATCCTTTTGCTCTTTGGATAGTTTGATAGCGAGAACCGTAAACCGGTCCTCTGGGATTGCTTTACATAGAAGTGATAAACGATATGTTGCTTTGTAGGCTTCTTAATGTCTCACGATTGTAAGTAATCGAGAACCTTTATTCTGAGAGTAAGAGTTTGCACTTTTATAAATTTGTTGTTGAACTCAGTTCCGCTATCTAATTTCAATACTTTGAAGAGTTTATGTTTTAGTATAAGCAGTTATTTGAACGGGTTTTTTAGGGTGGTTCACAATTTTCACAATGGTATTTTTTATGTAGGAGTGTCTGATTGTAATGACTGATGGTATAGTTTTAAGAGTTTATGTTTGACTAAATTGTTATTAATTTTCTTGGGCTTTTTATAATTTCGAATTACGATAGTATTATTTTTTATTTTATGATTATCAAATAGCCCATCATCATTTGTCCAGAAAAATATCTTAATAATGAAAGTTGCTACAACTCCTAAAAATAATGTTTTTATCGTTATTTATTTATTTGATTTCTATGCATAAAGGCCCGATTATTAAAGATGGTGAATTTCTTGTCATATAAGCGGGATCGTAAAAACGTAAGGCATAAAGCAAGCAGTTCTTTCTCAATCGTTAATGAGATGATTTTCCATAACTTCAAACTTTGACGCGGCTCGTTTCACTCCTTAGGGAGTAATTAAGTATCTAATTGGTTGAAGCGGCTGCTACTTGTTTGGACTCGGCACTCAGCTAAATTTGATGGATGCTAAAGCATTTCGCTTTGTCTAATTGGTCCAACACGCCCTCTTTTAATGTTAATATAATCGCTGTAATCGATGGCTGTAATCGATGCGTAGCCTCAATTTTGTGTGAAGTACGTAATGGTGAGTTGTAATGACTGATAGATTGCTTTATATATTTGCCTTGATATAATGATTGACTTGATTTCTTCAGCTTGGAAATGCGGCAGTCTATAGTTTTGATATACTGGTGTTTTGTCATGCAAATCTATTTCTTGTTTGTAAAAATTATTTACTGTTAATTGTTTGTGTTTTAGGTGGAATATTTTTTGGTATTTTTGTACAATTATAGTGAGTTGACAGTCTTCATTATTGGTTAGGATGTTGTGGTTTAAGGTCTTGAAGATTTTTTTTTGAGCAATTTTTGCTGTTTTTATTTATTGCTGTTATGTTCTAACCGTCTTTATGTACGGTTGTTTCGATTTTTAGATATTTAATTAGAACTGCGTATCTCTTTGTAAGGAGTAGTTCCATATATTTGTTCCCATCTGCTGGTATTATCGTTTTTGCTAGGTATATACCGCTTGTTAAATCTCTACATTGCATACAGCGTTATTTTCCGATGTATTTATTCTGTATGCAATGGTAATTTCTGCGCTGGTATGTGTTATGCGTTGTTGTCTGTGCGTGTGGTGATCAATGTTGGAGTGGAATTTTTGAACGAAGCCACGCTTTAGTATTTCATCTGTAGCTATCGCTTTAGTATTTCATCGGTAGCTATCGTAGTGTTTTTCGAGTGTCATTTGAACACTTGTCATGAAACTCTTTTTCTTTCCTCGCCGCTGAGGATTTAAATTT